TCCAAAAGAACTTCCCATTTGTGTGAATGTTTTGAGGAGACTACGTGGGAATGTATTTACTACCATGTTCACTGAAGATCTACTAATGAGGATTTACTGAGCAAACGTATGTGGTGCTCACATGACTAGTAATTCTTAATAGAAAATAGAAAATAAGTCGTAATCATGAGGTATCGCCTGACCTACATCTTTAGATTTTATAATCAACAATATCTTTACATGTGCTTGAGTATGGTAACCTTCTATCATCCATATAAATACAGACAACACAACTCGAACAAAGAAATACAAATCAATACTAATTTCATCAAAATACTCTTTAATGATGAAACAAAATTAAAACTCTTTAAAGCGATACATAAAGAAAAGCCCATTAACATAAGTAATATACAATTTACCATACTACAAAATAAAAACTCCATTGTCAATACATAATATACATTACAATACAATGCAGTTCTTTTAATAATGATGAAAAGTGCATAATATTCTCGTCAGAATACTCTTTAACACAGAATTCATGGAAACTTCTTTAACACTGAATTCAAAAACAACATATGATATAAACCCTTAGTACAGCAGAATTAAACACTCTCATTAACACTGTCAATAGGGGCTTGGTCAAGTTGAGCAACCACGTGACCTTTTTGTAATCGTTTAAATCTTCATAGATTTAATACTTATAATTCTCAATATAGTGGGAATATCTTCACGAAATTTGGCAGTGATTCAGTTAATATTACAAGTCTTTCACATACAAAAAGTCATATTTCTTAGTGAAGTATTTTTAATAAAATAAAATAAAGATTTGTCCATGAATATATTGAGTATTTGTTTTGAATAGTCCATGTGCAAAGTAATGTCATGTTAAAATTAGAAATACTTTTCCCTTATATCAAAAATCTCAAGTTTCCTTTGTGTAATCCTAACACCTCCTAAATGTATTTCAAACTTTTTTTCAGTAAAACTTTATAGTTTATCTGTTATTTTCTCTACCCTATCTTGAAACGGGATCGGTCAATTTGACCAACCTCATAACCACTAAAAACGATCAAAATAAACCTAAATTAACCTTTTTTTCTTTTTAGAATGACTTCAAATTGTAACATGAAACTACATTCATTTATCCTAAGTAGCTCTAATTTCGAAACATTATACATCTATTTATAATTAAATTTTATTGTTTTATTGACCTTTGAACTGTGTCTAACTACTTTCCTCACTTTTATGCCAGTGGATGAAGGTAAGAGTTGCAGTTTGAACATTATTGTACATCTTATAATAGTAATTATATTTATATTATTACTGCTAATACTAATAAAAGTAATAGTAGGTTACAAGATTATTTAAATTGTTTCTTTTAACTTAGCTAATGTGTGTGAAATCTTTATATGTTGTTAGGCTCTTTTTTTTTTTAAATTGGTATTTTTGCACATTGACAATGCTTTTGTTATAGGTTTACTATACAACACTTACCAAAAACTTGCAAAAACATACCAAAGGATGATTTTGCAAACACCTTGAGATTATATAGAATTTTGTCATATATGACTATCATGATAATATGTAGAATTGATGATGATAAATGTGTATAAAGTTCTATAAAATCTGTTTGGTTCTTTTAGGGTGACCTAAATTATTTTAAATTAGCCTGTGACCTGCAAAACATTTGCTGTAGTTTTGATGT